TCTGAATCCCTTGGCACAAGCAGCACATTCCAGAGATGGTTTAGTTCCCTCCCTTGGACCCAGCAATAACTGGGTAACAGGCCTAGGAAATAAGTGTTCTATAGAGTCATGTGGACAGTGTTTCATAATCCAGCAAGATGCTGAACCAAAGCAAATTGATTTGGGTAGTAAGGGAACCTTAATTTAAAATTGTTGACTTAATTACATTTTACATTTTTACCTTTCTTTTTGAACACTGACTTTCATGGGTCATCATTGCTGAAGACCAGCCAGATTTAGCTTTAACATGTTTTTTATTGCCTGTGCATCTTTACTTGCCCAGAAAAACTCTTCCCAGGACAGGGGAAGCAAAATTACCCACTCTGTGGAGCTCTCTGGGCAGTGTGAGGCTCGACCAGCCCATGGCACTGATCTGTGTCTTTGGGGTTAGGTTATATTCACTACCAGCCAGCCCAGGACCGGAAACGACCTCACCTCCTGGAAATGCTGATCCAGCTTCCAGCCAATTCTGCCACCAAGATCACAATCCAGTTTGAGAGGGCCTTACTGAAGTGGACAGAGTACCCTCCTGACCCTAATCATGGCTTCTATGTCAGGTAAAGGCACCTCTCAGCCTCTTGTCTCCTTCTGGGTCATGTGTAGCACTTCCTGCCTGGGTTTCTGGGTTGGGAAGAACTTTTGTTCTCTTCACTGGCAAGACTGACACCAATATATCCTTTGTTTTCTTAGTTCATCTGTACTTAGTGCCCTGGTGCCCAGTGCCATTGCAATGAAGAATGTGAATGTGGAGGAGAGCCCACTCTTCACCTCACTGTGAGTGTGCCTTTCTGCTGGGAAGAGGGAATGTGCTGCAGGCCTGCTGCAGCTGTCATCCCATCTGGGCTTCACCAGCCTACAAAACCTCAGGGGTCCTGGCGGGTGTTTGTGGTGTGTCAGGGGTCCTTGTGAGAGAGGCAGCTATAAGAGGTAACTGCTGTTATAGGTCCCCCCAGTCTCTTCTGTGATTTCCTATGGGATTCAGAGGTCCTTGGGAGAGCCTGACCCTAAGGGGCTGTGAGCACTTCCAGAACTACACAGGCCCAGGCTGAACAGCACAAGGTCTGTCTTGTGCAGGCTGACTCTCCTGCTTCCCTTCTCCAGGTTTCCTTCCTCCGATGGCTCCAGCTATTTCTTGCGCCTGTATACAGAGCCACTGCTGGTGAACCTGCCAACACCAGACTTCAGCATGCCCTACAATGTCATTTGCCTGACGTGCACAGTGGTGGCTGTGTGCTACGGCTCCTTCTACAACCTGCTAACTAGGACATTCCACGTGGAGGAGCCCAGCCGTGGAGGGCTGGCCAAGCGGCTGGCCAACGTCATCCGCAGGCTCAGGGGTGTGCCGCCCATCTGAGAGCCTGGGGCACAGCCTTGGGAGAAGCAGAGCCCTGCTGCCTCCTGCCTTTGCTGCCTGCGTCCCTCTCCTGGGTCCTACAAGCTGAGGGATCGCTTCTGTAATTAAGGTGGGAAGCAGCTCTAAGCTCGTTAACTACTGAACTGCACTTGTACAGGGTTAGGAAATTAGTATTCTGTTTGGGAGAAGGGGTAACTTATGTGCTGGGAATTATGCTGAAAGTAAACTTGAGCTGTTTCGTACGTTTGTGCTGCTCCTCTTTGGGTTTGTTTCCCAGCACCACAGGCAGAGGGAGCCCCGTATGCTGCGGGGCTGCAGCAATGTGCTGCAGTCAGTGGGAGCAGATGCAGAGACCTGTGGGGCAGCACAGGGATCAGAGGTGGTGCCACCTGCTTTGCCACAATGCCACGTTCCAGTGCCCTCCTTCCAGCCCGTACCACAGCTGAGCCACTTTCCAAACAACAAAAGCTGTAGGCACTAAACTGCCTGCTTGTCCCCTCTTTCAGCCCCGGGGTTTACTTGCCATCTCAGAGCAGCCATGAGCACAGAGCCTCACGTGGCAGATTTTGAGCTGCTGACCCCCAGCACAGGACACCCCTCTGCTGCCCCCAGGAACCATTCATACTGAATTCGTGCATCTTTACGCATCTGCACCGCAGTGCCAGCAGTGCCCAGCAGCACAGTGTGCACCCAGCAGGGCACCGTTCTGCACAGCACACACACCAGCTTTGCTGCCGTCGGCACCCTGCAGTGGGAGGACACGTGCCGTAGCGTGGCCTGGGACAGTGCCGCTATCAAAGCACAAGAACTTCAGCACAACTGCAGTTCACCCCTCCATACCAGCGACGCTTCGATCCTCCGCAGCCCCTCAAGGACTCGCGCCAGCAGCGCACAGAAATGCAGCTCAACCAATGGAGCCGCACTCATGACAACATCGCGCATGCGCAGTGCTCTCAGTCCCCCCCCCCACTTTCGCTCGCTGCGCAGGCGCAGCGCGCTCAGTGCCCGCATCCACCCGCTGCGCATGCGCAGTTGCTATCAGCCACACTTCCACCTGCCGCGCACGCGCAGTGCTCTCAGTTCCCGCTGCCACCCACCGCGCGTGCGCAGTGCTCTCAGCTCCTGTCACCCGCCGCGCACGAGCAGTGCTCTCAGTTCGTCTGCCACCTGCCGCGCATGCGCAGTTCCCCCGCGCGGCTGCCCGCGGCGCCGCCTGACGGAGCGGCCGCGCTGCCCCCGCCGCCGCCTGAGCGCGGCCCGCGGCGGAGCTGTTGCGGGGCGGCGGGGCCGGGCCGGGGTAGGCGGGGAGGGAGGGAGGAGAGGGCCCCGGGCGGGCGTCGGCACGCGGCCCGAATCGGCCTCTCCTCTGCTATCCCTCCGCAGGGCGCGGCGCGTGGAGGCGGCCCCGGGATGGCGGCGTGAGGCGGCGGCGCCGCGCCGTGAGTACGGGCCGGGCCCCGCGCGGGGGAGGGGCGGCGCTGCCGGCCGGGCCGGAGGCGGGCGGCGAGGGCGGGAGGGCAGGCGGAGGAGCGCCGTGACACCGGCGGGATCGGGCCGCCGTCGGCGCAGCGCCGCGCTTCCCCCGCCGCTCTCTTCTCCCCTTTCGGTGCAGCTGTGCCGGGCGTCCCTCCGGGCACCGAGCTCTAAAGGAGCCAGAGCAGCCGGCCTCGCAAACGCTGTGCCCACGGAACAGCTTCTGCCTTGCCAGCCCGTGTGTCACAGCTCCCCAGAACGCGCTGTGGGTTTGCCTCGATTTGCGAAGGCAGAAATCTGAGCCCTGTATGCAGCGTGGTGTCAGAGGCACAAAGAGCGCTGAGGGGATCCGAATGAAAAGTAACGATGTTCTTTAGCGAATGACGTGGAATAGGCCAGGAGTTTTGTGGTTATTGACAAGTAAAGGCCAAGGAGGTGGAGAATAAGATCCAGTGATAATTAAATTAGTACAAAGGAAAATAGCAGCACTTGGCAGTTGTTGATGTTAGCTCTACCATAGAGCTAACTGACTTAAGGTTCTGCTTCTGTCATTTCCCCCTCTGAAAAACAGCCCTGCTGCCCTCTCTCTCCTCTCCAGAGGTTTATCGGCTCTATATTGCCTTTAATTGTGCTGCTGTCCAAGCAGGCAGGTCTGTGCAGTAACTGGACACTGTCTGATCAATTCCCCAGTGAAGTAACGAAGCTGTGAGAGCAACCCTGGAAATGGTAACAAGTGTCTCAGCAGATGTCTGCACTTTCCATGAAAGGAGTGTTGCTGTGGATTGTCTCTAGCTTGAGAAACCAGAACACTTTGTAACCCCCGAGGCTTGATTAATCAAGGATTTGCTGCTCTTTTGGAAATCGTTTGCTATTCTATTGCACCATTGCTGAGTCTCCACCAAGTGTTCCAAGGCATGAACTTATCAAAGAATGGCATAAGGCTTTTGCCAGAAATGGAAGGCTCACTTTTTCCAGCTGAGTCATACTGGCAGATAAACTAAAAAAAAAAAGAAAAATAACAAACAAAATCACAGAAAAACAGGAATTACTGGAATAAAAGCTGACATTAAATCTCTGATATTACAGATAGGTCTCAAAAGTTTGAACAGTTGTAGTTCTTAATTGTTCTGTATGTCTGTTTTTAAGAGATAGCACTAACATGTAGAATGCTGGGCTACTGTTGTTTTTCTTAGCTGAAAATAATAATACAAAAATTGTCACTTTTAATAGCTCCTCCACCTCTTTCCCCCTAGTGCTTTGGGTATTGTTGTATTTAGCAGCTGTTCTGGACACTGGACAGTATTTGCAGGTTGGTTTTAACGCATGCTGGCAGCAGGAAGCTCTGCTCACACACATAACTTAAAGCTGCGTGGCTGCAACAAGGTTCTGGATCTGAACTGTTTTAAGCAAACTCTACCATAGGTGAGCCTTATGCACAACAAACTCAGTGCACATCCCGAGGCACACTTTAAGTATACACACACTTTAACTTGGGAGATTTTTATCTAGACATGTGGCTTTTAGTTCCCAAGCAGGAATTTGAGCTCCTGGAAGAGGAATAAATGGAGTGCTTAAGGAGTTAGGATGTTCTCAATAAAGATATTAACTCAGTACTGACATACTGATACAGAAAACTTGCTGGGTACAAGCACTTCTCAGCCTCACAATGTCTGGATTAACTTGTGGAATACCAGGGAACACCTTGCTGGCTCCTCACATGGATTTAATACAAAATGTAAATAATCCACTGCAAAATACTAGGCTTGTGGAGGGCCACAAAGATGATCGGGGGCTGGAGCACCTTCCCTACAAAGACAGGCTGGGGGAGCTGGGCTTGTTCAGCCTGGAGAAAAGAAGGCTGGGGGTTACCTGATTGCAGCCTTTCAGTACCTAAAGGGAGCCTACTAACAGGAGGGGAGTCAACTCTTTGTAAGGGTAGATAACAGCAGGATGAGGGGAAATGGTTTTAAGCTGAGGGAGGGGAGATTTAGGTTGGATGACAGGGGGAAGTTCTTTACTATAAGAATGGTGAGGTGCTGGAACAGGCTGCCCAGAGAGGTTGTGGATGCCCCATCCCTGGAGGTGTTCAAGGCCAGGTTGGATGGGGCCCTGGGCAGCCTGGTCTAGCATTAAATGGGGAGGTTGGTGGCCCTGCATGTGGCAGGGGGGTTGGAGATTCACAATCCCTGATGTCCCTTCCAACCTGGGCTGTTCTGTGACTTGTCCTAATTAATGCTTTGTTTTTCTTTCTGGGTGGGAAAGGTGTGCCCGTACACCTGCATAGGAATCTGAAAGTCTTCCCCACAAACATATGCCAATAGGAACTGCTGGATTTGAATGGACTTGGGAGGGAGGGAAGATGAGAGAAGGAAGGACTCTGCACACTGTGGAAACTGATTAATAGGCATGTGGAAAAGCGTCGGTGTTTGCTTACTAATGAAGTGTGCAGGGAACCTCCCCACACTACAGGAAGCATTAGGGAGGAGGCTGCAGCAGTGCCCAGAGATCTGAGGGGAGCCCAGAGTGCTGGCTGTGGGGAGAGCAGCAGGAGCATCACATGTGCTGCTGAGGGGGCTGCAGCAAGTTGGTGTGGCTCTGATCGCTGTGGAGGAGCCCGAGGTGATGCATGAAGAGGAACTGATGGTAAACTCCGCTGTTGCCAAGTCAGATGACTTGAGCACTCCTGAGGATAGCAGGACAGCAGGCTGCTAAAGAATGAGATGAGTCACACAGGCAGGGGAGAACAAGAGCAACTGGTTGACGGAAAGGAGGGCACGTTGTGAAACAGGGTACTGGTAGAAGTGCTGTTGGATGACAGGTAATTATTTGTTCTGGGACATGGTAATCTTTTGCTTGGATCATGAGGAGGGGACAAAGAAAGCAAGGTAGGAATGTCTCATTTGCAAGTTTCACCAGCAGACTGTTGCTTGAGAATCTAGGCAGATCTGCATAATCTGCATGTTGTTAAGCTTCAAGAAGGGACTTCCTATCCCAGATGCTAAGGGGAGTGATACTTCCCTGTTCAGTGAAGAGCTGACAATGGGAGGCACCATTTCTCTGCAGGAAACCCCCAGCAGGAAGAGAATTGATAGCTTGGAAAGAGAACTTTATCCCTCTGCCAGCACTATAAAGGACTCTGCACTGAAGAGTGGGGAAGAGCATGAGTCTTAATTGTGGAAAATCCCATGAGGAATACAGAGGTGTGAAAGTTTCAAGTAGCAGTTACCTTATCTAGGATCAGCTGTGAGATCACATAGACAATGGTTTTTTCAGCCCTTAACTGGTGTATAGTTAAGAGGCACAGGAAAATAAGAGCACACTGACTACAGATACAAGACTAACTGTTCAAACATCTACATTTGTTTGAAATAAGAGTTCTGCAGATTGAAGGGCATAGAACTTCATAGTAAAGAAAGACACTATGAAGTGTTTCTTTGTTCTGCAGAGTGGTTTTTCTGATTGCTGCAAGCAGCTGGCTCTTCCAGGAAGTACCAGTATTTAACAGTGATTAACTTGGTCTGAGACCTGTGTCTGTAGTGGGAAAGAGACTGCAGAAAACTTTAAGGAGAGAACACTCAGAAGGATGACTGGAGATCGTTAATTTAGTACAACTTAACTTACTCAAGGCAACGTGATCTCTGCCTAAGCAGGACAGGAAATAGAAGATGGGGTAGAGGGGTTCATTTATTTATCTGTTCAAATCTCTGTTAAATCTTTTCTCAGAATATTTCCCAGTTAAGAAGTTACCTGATGATTCAGCAGTACTTTTTTCTCCAGAAACAGCTAACTGATTCACAGAGGCCAGCAGACAGCATTTTTTGCTATGGAATGAGTAATTGTTATTCCCAGTTCACAGATTAGGAAAACTGGCGTGGGACTAGACTTGCCCTTGAAGATGTGAGAAGATGAGCTGCATAAGATGGGACCAGCACTGAGATCGTATTCCTTCAATTTTACTTTAGCTACATTGCAGTGTAAAATATTTTCTTCCCTATTCCTTTGGCTGCCTAATTGAACCCCTGCTGTCCTCTCTGCAGGAAAGCACTCTCTAGCAGGACAGTCAGCACAACATACTTCCCCCAAATTCTCTTAATCTGTTTGCCCTGGAGATTTTGGCCTGTGCTGTTTTTCACTAATGTTAAAATAGATCCTGCTGCTAGATAGACGGTGGATGGCAGCGTGCTTCCTGCTTCTGACACCAGAGCTGCTTGGTACCAAGGAGCTTAGTAAGCTGTGAGACACAGGTCTGACCTCAGTGGGGGTTTGGAAGAGAATCATGTGTGGTTTTCTCTTGGCTCTTCTGTGCACTCCCTCATTCCCTCTCCCTTTGCCAGGAAATCCCTTCTTCTGCCAGCAGGAGCCAGAGGAATGTGCTGTTTGTTTACTTTCTCACTCTTTCATCCTTCTAACCTTCCCACACCCCCAGCTCTAATCCAGACAGGCTCAGCTCAGCCCTTCATCCTTCTGACAGTACTGCTCAGCTGAATATTTTCAGATAAAAGGATTGCTAGAAAAAAGCTTATTCTGACCAGGGTCTACATAGCTGGAGCAAGGCTGGGGCTGTCCTCTTGCCTTTCCTTCTGTGCCTTGGCTGGCAGCTGCTTCATTCAGTTGGCTGCATGTCACCATGACATACCATAGGATAACAGACAAGAGCCCACTTCCCAAGCTCTACTTTCTTTCAGCACTCCTTCTTGTATAATTTTTCCTTTCTAGGGTAGTAAGCTAGGTGTCTCCATGTACCACATCTCATTCTTTCTGTGCTTCATAAACTGAAGGAAATCTTGTCTGTTATTTTCCCCAAGAATATCTATATCTTCTGGCCTGTAATGCTGCTACATTAGATGGCTGAACTCCATTCTTTTGCCCTCTTTCAATAATTCTATCTTGGTAAAATATATCTAGGGCATTTTAATATTTTTAAAGCCCTCTAAAATTCTTGAATATGTTTGAATTGCTTAGAAATAAAAATCAAACAGTGTAGTTGATCCAGTTGCTAAAGATAGAAGTGTATTTTCTGGATCTCTGGTGTGCTGCCATCCCTGCTTAGCAGCCCTTGAAGCTCACTGTGTCCACAAGGTTTTATAATAATCCAAGTGAGGAAATCCTGTGTTTACTGCACTTATGAAAATTGCCATTTTGAGATTGTCCTCTCTTTGATTCATTTGCATACTTTGTCTTATCTGACTTGAGCTGATTGGCAAGGATTATAAATCCCTTAAGCAGGGACTGTCCTCCCCTTTGTTTTGCAGTACAGACACTGTCAGGGCTTTCCTGGGCAGCTGCATGTGTAGATTATTTTTTTTCTTTTGCTGTTTAAGACATTAGAATGGGTCTGTGCTTGGGGAGGAAGCAGTTTGTGTCTTAACACTTCCTATAAGCACGGTTAGGAACCAGACCTGCCATTTTCCCCTTCCTTTGTACCACCTCTGAGTTTTATCACTCAACTGGATGTTTTTCCCCATCACTTTTAGGCTTTGGGCAGCCTCAGATAAATACTTGTGTAGGAAGGGCTGCAGTAGCTTGTTTTTCTTTCTGTTGTTTCTCCTTCCACCTTTCTGTGTCTGCACTGTGCTAAAGAAAAGCGTCAGTTGTTAGGGTAAAAGCCTAAGAAACAGAGCACAGAAGGGATACATTTCTATATGAGCAACAGAGAATCTCATCCCCAGTTGTGGGCTTCAGAAAGCAGAGTTTCTACCAACTCTTGAGATGCACCAGAATTTAGTACTAGGAGTTGAAACCAGCAGCAGCATGCAGTGCTTGAGAATGGGTGAGCTGTAGAAGAGCTACTGTTGATCTGTTTGCCGAGTGTCTGACTGTCTTTTTAACCTCCTCCCTACAGGACAGCCCACCTGAGGAGCTGCTGGAGACTGGAGCACCAAACTACTGCTGCCAGAAGGCCCCACCAGCCAGACACGATGTACTGCCTTCAGTGGTTGCTGCCTGTCCTGCTCATCCCCAAGCCCCTTAACCCAGCCTTGTGGTTCAGTCACTCAATGTTCATGGGCTTCTACCTGCTCAGTTTCCTCCTGGAACGGAAACCTTGCACAATTTGTGCCTTGGTCTTCCTGGCAGCTCTGTTCCTCATCTGCTATAGCTGCTGGGGGAACTGTTTCTTGTATCACTGCACAGGATCCCAGTTGCCAGAATCAGCTCACGATCCCAGTATAGTGGGCACCTAGAAAACTATTATCTTCCAGTTTGCTGACAGCTCTGGTTTTGCTTTTAATTGGGGGGGGAGGGTCTAGGGAACAGGGCAGGGGTGTGTTAGGCATGTGATTGAAGTAAAAACAGCCTATTTCCTGTAATGTATGTGTGGACTAGAGTGGTAAATTCCTGACCAGCCCTCCCACTCTGCCTGTGAAATTTGACTTGTTTACTGTGTGAACTCTTGCAGCGCCACCTGCTTTTTTAGAAGCAGAAATCTTTTTTCCTTCCCATATCACTGGGAATGGACACCAGCCCTTCTACCTGAGAACTGGTGGAGGAAAGAGCTGTTGGCCTCTGTCTGACTGTTGCATGGTGGTGGAGTTGTGTGTCACTCTCTTGTTGGCCATGGTGATCTAACACTGATTCTGCTCTAGTAGCTCCAGGATCCTCTCCATCCTTCAGTTTGTGGGGAGCCAGCCTTCCTACCTTACTGATCAAGGGACAGTTCAACAACTCACAGATGCACTTGGCCAAAAGCTGCTGGAGCCAGAGGCAGTTGAGTCATCTCCTCCTGCTCAGCCTGCCAAAGAGATGTGTGCACTGCCCAAGTGCTTTCTGAACTACTAATGCTCCAAGATCATAGCCTGAAAGCCTCAGTTACGCTGCTGCTTTTATAAAGCCTCACAGGCAGCAGAGACTGCCTCTTCCCCTGCTAGATTTCCAGGGTTTACCAAATTATTGACTGCAACAAGATGTGGGATTTTTCAGAATCTCTATGAACCTCACCTGAGAAAACTAAACTGGCCCAAAAGTCTGGGTGTGAGCAGAGCAAGAGAAGATCCTGAGGTAGAGGCATGGCCTGAAGCCATTGATGCCATCAGTGGACAAATGATTTTCAATGACTGTTCTCAGGCGGATGGTGACAGAAAGCGCTGATGCTATGGCTTGGTGATGGAGGCACTGGGTACTCCTCTGACCTCACCCTGGCTCCTCTGGGTGGTGGTGGGTGTTTGCACGCAGGCACTGTTGTGCAGAGCTTTGCCCTGTGCAGTACTCTCCATTGAAGTGGCTCTTGGGGAGCCTTCCCTGGGGCAGCAGCTTGCATATGAGAAACTAAAGTCAACACAAAGTACTGACTACACTGTCTGAGAGTTCCCTCAATTACCATCTGCTCATCTTCAATCTCAAAGGGGAGTGCAGCAGAAGTGGCTGCTGCTGTCCCAAGGAAGTTCAGGCTATGAAATTGTGAAACTTCCAGAATATTGTTTGTTCATTGCACAGCTGTTCAAAAATGTTTAATAAAGCTTTATAAACTTTGGTCTATGGACTACTTCCCTGACTACTGTTCGTCACAGATGCCTTAGCCCAGCAGTCATGCAGCTCAGTATTGTTTTGTTCCAAGTGCAGTAATGCCAGAGTCCTAGCAAGAGGCAGAGCCTGTTTGCCCTGTGACTCCCAGTACAGACTCATTAACTGTTTAACCTAACCCTGGGCAAGCCAAGGAGCACACTGGCAGTTCCCAAAACAAGCTCATTTTGCACACAACACAGGAGGGAGCTTCTGGCTGCGTCTCCGCACTTCTGTGACAGATTCCTCTCCCTTCCTTGCAGCTTAAGGAGCTGAGGCACAGAGCTGACAGCCTAATCCCCAGCAGGGAACTGTTCCCTGCAGACACGCACTGTGAGCCCATCCCACGCTGCCCAGTGCTGTGCCTCGTTGTGTCAGCCCTTGCCCTGCCCACAGCTCTGCTCAGCACTGGATGAGATGGGGTTATGGAAGCGCCGTGCCCGGCTGCAGCCAGCAGCACCTCGCAGTTATCAGCACGTTTGGGAGCCAAAATGCACTGCTGGAACCAAAAGCAACCTCTGCCCTCACTCCTGGCCACTGAGTCCAAGTTGGAAAGCATCCAACGTGTATCTGTTTCTACGTTTAAAAGTGTGTGCCACATCACCAAGAGTAGACACGACAGCTCTGTCACCGAGCAGGCTGAGGGGAATCCCTGTAGCTGCCAATAGTTACAGCATAAATAAACAGAAGGGAAAGGTACACCTCTCATTTGCAAGGCATGGCAGTGCAGTTGGAGTGCTCTGAGTGGCTTTTAAGTTTTGTTTATTTAAGCTATGAGGATTGTTTTATTTAAGCTAATGCAGTCATCTCTTTTAAGAGCCCATTTGAGTTGCTAACTAACCAAGCTGCACTTCACTGCAATTTAAATAAAACCTAGCCACAAAGCCAGACAGTTTGGGTGAGAGCAAGCCCTGCCTTCGCCCATCAGCCCGACCCAGGACGCGGCTGCGGTTTCCCCAATGTGAGGCCTGGCGTGGGGAGCACAGCACTTCAAAAGAGGGACAAAGACGACGGCAGAGATCTCGACCCGATGCTTGAGAAGCGTGCTTTTCGTGGTGCTTCCTCCCCAAATATAGTGATAAGCCCTTTGATATGCACAAAGCCCTCACCGAGTGCTATCTGACGCTTCAGAGCGCTGAGATACCATCTTCATTTTGAAGATGGAAAATTAAAGCAACTTCATCACGGTCAGACAGACAGCCTGAGGTAGAGCAGGAACCCAGCCGGGATCACATCCCATGCTAATGCCCTGATCCCCAGCTCATCCTCTATAAAGAGACTACAAAAAACCAGCCTACAACTGCAGAACAGGTCAAACCCGACCGCGTAGCAGAAGCATCATCACAGCTTGTACTTGTGTGCTGCGAATTGGACAGAGTCCACACAAATGCAGTGCCTGCTCCAGCTACACAGCAGCACCACAGTGCTCCCTGAGAGCCACCCCACCAGGAGGGCAGCACTGCTCCAGCACTGCAGTCCCTGCTGCCCCCAGGACCATGCAGTGACAAGGAAAGCAACAAGGCTCAGAGCAGAGCGGTGCCAGGTCCTACGGAGCCCAGGCACTGCCCAGAAGGGATCTGGCACAGAACATCTCATCACCTTGCTTTTTAATAAGGTGCCCATCTGCCTCGTGTTCCCTGGTTGCAGAAGCCTTAAGCCATCCCTTTGCCTTTCCATCATAAGGAGGTCATTTTCTAGGTCACCCAACAGAGAAGCAGCATGGTGGGGTCAAGAGAGGAAAACAACGGCAGCCCTGCCACAAGCACACCCTGCTCTGCACCAGGAGCCCTTCCGCTGGGTCTGGGCAATAGGAGAGACCCCAGAGCCAGACCAAGACTCAGTCCAGGGCACTGCAGCCCACACAGTGGGTTGGGGCTGCTCCCTGCACGGTCACAAACACAGAAGATACACGGTGGGGGTTCCCACATCCCAACCCCAGCTCTGCAGAACCCCTGCCCCACTGCAAGGACGAATCCCAGCACCGCAGCCACCCCAGCAGGGTACCAACCACCTTTCCCACCCATCACACACATAGACTGAGGCATTCACCAACAAAGATACCCTATTCATCACTTAATTAATTTAGCAAGAAGTAAATCACAAAGCATTAAACACTTAAGATGATGAAATCGACTCACCAGCCCTCAGAGACAGAGCAGCACTCAGGGCACCAGAACCACCACGGGTCACTGAGGCTCAGCCACAGCCCCACTCTCTGAAGGCCTATTCCCACAAATCAATTACTTCATCACCAACTGAGGGATTCCAATCAGCATCCACTAATTACCCTAATGAAGCAAACCTGCTCCCAGCCAGCTCACTGAGCAACAGCTGAAAGAGGCTGCAATCAGCACAGACAGGGGTGTCCCAGGACAGGTGGATACGGGACAAAAGCTGTGCATGCCCCATAGTTCCCCTCACACCCCTTACTGAC